AAGGAGGTGGGGAGGGGAAGGAGGGATGGGAGGCAGGGGACGAAGGATTTCAGGTAAGAGTACACCGGCCAGGGGGTAAGGGCTCTGAGGCAGAAGGATATGTAGTAGGCAGATTAACTGGCTCCCGAAGAATCCATGTCCTGATTTTTGGAGCCCAGAATATGTTACATAACACAGCAAAGGGGAATTAAGGTTGCAGATGGAATTAAGGCTGCTAATTAGCAGACCTTAAAATGGAAGACGATTTTCTATTTTCTGGGTGGGCTCAAAGCAATGGAAAGGATCCTTCGAGATGGAAGAAGAGGGTAGGAAGGCAATGTGACTGCAGAAGAACGGACAGGGAAAAGCAAGGCTGCTGGCAGTGAAGATGGAGGAAAGGGGCCACAAGTTTAAAAACCTGGGGTAACTTCTAGAAGCTGAAAAAGCAAAGACACAGATTCTCTCCTAGAGCCTCCAAAAAGAAATGCATCTGTGCAGACACTTTGACCGTAGCCCAGTAAAAACCATGTCACACCGAGGACCCGGAGAACTGTGTGGCAGTCCACCTGTGTCGTTCTAAGCCGTGAAGTGTGTGGCAATTTGTGACAGTGGCAGTGGGCACTGCAGCGTCTCTGGCCAGGCTGAGAAACACGGGGGGCGCAATGTGAGTGGAGGGGGTGGAGCAAGAGGAAGTGGAGAGGTGATGTGGGAGAGAGGAGCACACCGTGGAGGACTCTAGAAGCCACCTGAAGAGGTTTTAACTCCGGAAACCTGAGTGGCTCAGTCGGTTAAGCGTCTGCCTTCGGCTCAGGTCATGGTCCCGGGGTCCTGGGATCGAGCCCCGCATCAGGCGCCCTGCTCGGAGAGGAGCCTGCTCCTCCCTCTACCTCTGCCTCTCCCCGCTTCTTGCACTCTCTCTTTCTCTCTAAAATAAATAAATACACTCTTAAAAAAATAAAAAATAAAGAGGCTTTAACTCAAAGAAAAATAAGCCGTACAGGGTTTTGAGCAGAGGAATGGTGCCCTGACTTGCACTTCCTAAGGATCACACTGGCCACTACATGGAGAACAGACAATACAAGGGAAGGTGTGGAAACAGGTGTGCCGTACAAAGACGGCTGAAATGATTCAAGACGGGGTCTGGTCATTTGGACCAGGTGAGATGGTCACCTGGGGAGGAAGAAGTAAGACACACGGAAGAACACCGGCAAGGACTCCCATCTGCTTGGTTCTTAACCTGATCTCTCTTCTCTGTTGGTTGCTGGCATCATCCAAAGCTTTTTTGCTCTAAGTGGAACATATCATGTCTAAAGGGGTGCTGTGTTGTGAACATGCAAAGTCACATATTTATTTTTATTTTTTTTTAAAGATTTTATTTATTTATGAGACAGCGAGAGAGTGAACACAAGCAGGGGGAGTGGGAGAGGGAGAAGCAGGCTTCCCGCTGAGCAGGGAGCCCGATGCGGGGCTCGATCCCAGGACCCTGGGATCATGACCTGAGCTGAAGGCAGACGCTTAATGACTGAGCCACCCAGGCGCCCCTGCAAAGTCACATATTTAAGATGAACACACAAGGGCGCCTGGGTGGCTCACTCAGTTAAGTGTCTGCCTTCGGCTCAGGTCATGATCCTGGGATCAAGCCTCCCATCGGGCTCCCCACTTAGCAGAGTCTGCTTCTCCCTCTCCCTCTCCTCCCCTCTCAAGCCCTCTCTCTCTCAAATAAATAAAAATCTTAAAAAAAAATTAAAAAATAAAATGAACACACAAAAGGTACAAATGAGTATTTGGATTCCTACACATACCGGTCAATTAATCAAAATCAGCGTTTTTCAAACATTTAAAAAAATATGACCTATTTCAAGACCCAGACATATATGCATGACAGAAACCTATTTCTCACCAATGTCTATCACACAATCGGCAGATTTTTACTGTGATGTATTCATTACAGCTAACTGAGATTTTCAAACTGAGATAACAAACTGAGATTTTCTACTTTATTAAAAAAACTATTGGTACACCATCAACACAGGTAACCATTTCAAAAGCCCCGAAGCCTTGAACACCCAAGGACACAGAGTCAATCCAGGAAGCAGATATTGAGGCATACAGCGCCTATGCTCACCCACAGAAATCAGATTCCTGAAGTTCTCCAACATCACGTCTCCGTACAGCTTCCTCTGGGCGGGGTCCAGCAGCCCCAGCTCCTCCTCCGTGAAGACCACCGCCACATCCTTGAACGTCACCGTCTCCTACAACATCAAGCACACGCAACCTCAATCTTGCACCCAGTGGCCACTGGGAGTGGGGCAGCATTGAGGAGGTGGAAAGGATGGTGTGAAGTGGTTTCAGAGTTTGAGGGACTCAAGTCCATCGGCAGGCTTCCAGGCCCTTCTCCTCCTACCCTGCCAATGCCACACACTGAAGTTCCTTCAAGGATTAAACAAGGGAATACCTATTGCCTTTGGAACAGTACATGGCACAGAGGAGGTGCCTAACAAACATCTGATATCAATCGTATTATTTCTTCATGTTGCCAACACCAGTACCTTTTTCATCACATTTTGTGGCTCTGTGTTATCCCAGAGAACAGATCCTCTATCCTTACCTGTTCTGAACAAATGATATTTAATTTTACATATTTTTCTCATTATAACCCATCTGCAAAGTACGTCGTTTTATGTAGATCTTGTTGCCCTGCCTGATGACTTGAAAATAATTGCTAGAGAAAATTAAAAGGTCAAAAATGGGCACATTTAAAATTACGATCATATGATGATAGATTTTCTTCCCAATCTTTTTCCTACTTCCCTGATCTTTCAAGGGAATACAACAACCCGGGTTCTCCATACAATGGCCAAGAGCAGGTTACGTGTTTCTCTATGGTTTTGGCAATCTGATTTGGAAGAACAAGTTGTATAAGTATTCCCACTTATTTGATTGTAAATTAATAGAACTACCTTTTCAGGGGCGCCTGGGTGGCTCAATTGGTTAAGCGTCTGCCTTCGGCTCAGGTCATGATCCCGGAGTCCCGGGATCAAGCCCCGCATCGGGCTCCCTGCTCAGCGGTGAGCCTGCTTCTCCCTCTGCCTCCCTTCTCACCCCCACTCATGCTCTCTCTCAAATAAATAAAAAATATCTTAAAAAAAAAAGGACTACCCTTTTTAGATGTTTATTCGTATTTCTCCTTTTAACATGGCTGTGCGTATCCTTCTTTATATTCCATTGGGGTTTTTTTTTCCCTTTCCCATATGCGTAAGTTTCCTATTATGGGCTTTGTCTCTTTTTTGGCATCCCTGTGGTAAATATTTTTGCCCCAGGTTACTGTTCCTGGTAATTCCATGTAAAGTGTCTTTTGCCACAGAGGAATTTAAAGATTTTATACAAGGATTGTGCTAACTGCTGTCTTTGCGCCTGCAGGTCAGTGAAGGGGAGCAGCCACAGGAAGAGACACAGCCCAAGACAGGGGTCAGGGACAGCACCACCTGTGGAAATCATCTCACAGAAGAGCGCTCCAGGGGCGCCTGGCTGGCTCAGTCGGCTAAGCGTCTGCCTTCGGCTCAGGTCATGATCCCAGGGTCCTGGGATCGAGCCCCACATTGGGCTTCCTGCTCAGCGGGGAGCCTGCTTCCCCCTCTGCTTCTGCCGCTCCCCCTGCTTGTGCTCACTCTCTCTCTCTGCCAAATAAATAAAAATCTTAAAAAAAAAAAAAAAAAAGCACTCCAGACACACACGCCACAGGGCCCAGGGCCCGAAATGAACTCTGTCTTCCTGTCTACCTCTTTCACTCAAGCAGAATGCCTCACATTCCTGCCCGTGGTTCCTTGTGTGAATCTGAGTGGGTCTCTCATAGTCACATGTTTAAGATGAAGATAAGGCCGACACCTCCTCCCTCTGCTGCTCTGAGGAGTCAAGGCACAGAATGCAAGTCACTGGCCGATACTAGGACCGAGGCACGGGGAAGATGGAATCCAGCTCTCCCTGAGTGCAAACCTCCAGCAAGATCTGTGTGAAGCAGCACTTCCAGCCTGCTCTGTTCTGCCTGCAATTAGATATTCCACGTAAAAAACAGCCTCCCTGGCACGTATCAAATGTGAGGACACAAAGCTAGCAGACTGTTTTCAGAGCCGATGTGGGGGGACAAGGTTTTCTGTCAGAAAGTGGTCGCCGCAGTGCTGCTTGAGACAATAAAATTCCTAAACCATAGACGTGCCTATGAATGGGAAGGAGTTAAAGATAGAAAGATACATCAACTCAATGGGAATGGGATGCAACCGTAAAAAATGAACATTACTTAACATCAAAGGGAAAAAAAAATCAGAATTTAAAATTAAGTGTATATTATGAATACAAATTCAGTTATGTATGCCCACAAAGATAAGAGTAGGAGAAAGTTGAAACGGCTCATTTGTCAGGTGGGAAGTAATGAAGTGGGAGAATTACTCATTTCTAGTCATTTTTTTACTCTGTAAGATATATAATAATAAAACAAAAACCAAAAATACATGCAAAAATAGGTCCGCAAATGCCTGTTGCTCTGTTTGAGTCATCCCCAGAAAAATGTGTGACGACCTGAGTAATGAGATGGAATTTGTAAAGTGAGAAAGGCAAGCCCTACTCACCTTGAACATGGTCATGTGTCCTCCTACTTCCGGGCGTGTGTAGAGTCCTGAATTGCACAGGTACCAGGAAGGTGGAGCTGCACCTGGCAAGGTGCCTAGGAAGGCAGAAAAAAAGGCTTTAAAGGTAGCCCAGGAGGCTGCTCACCTACACAGATGATGACTGTGAATCCATACATGATCTGTACACGAACGTTCACAGCACCATTATTCATTAATAACCCTCATACTGGAAACTACCAAGATGTCGAGCTATGACCTATGCAGGAATGAACAAATTGTGGCAAACCCATACAATGGAATATTACTGGCCAATTAAAAGGAAGGAGTACTGATCACGCTACAGCATGGATGAACCGTGTAAACACTGCTGAAAGTGAAAGACACCAGTCACAAAAGGTCAGATACTATAGGATTCTTTTTCTATGAAATGTCCAGGAGAGGGAAATCTACAGAGACAGAAAACAGGTTAGTGGTCTCTGGGGCATTAGGGGAGAAAATGGGGCGTTAACTGAAAATAGGCATGAGGAATCCAACTGGGGAAACAAAAATGGTCTAAACTGAATTATAGCAATCGCTGCACCACTCAGCAAAGTTACTAAAAATCATGATTCATGGGGTGCACCTGGGTGGCTCAGTTGGTTAAGTGCCTGCCTTTGGCTCAGGTCATGATCCCAGGGTCCTGGGATCGAGCCCCATGTTGGCCTCCCTGCTCTGCGGGGAGTCTGCTTCTCCCTCTCCCTCTTCCCCACCCCTTACTCACAATCTCTCTCTCTCACAAATAAATAAAAATCCTCTCTCTCAAATAAATAAATCTTTAAGAATGCCCACTAACAAGTGTATCTTCCCATAAGAAGACTTTATTAATTCTGATGAAAAAAAATAGTACCTTTAAAATGGAGAAACCTAATAGAAATCACCTTAGCTAGTCAACAAAGTTGAGTTCACCAAAACGCAGACAAACCAACATCCTTTGGCTCCTGTTACGCTGCAATGACAAGGATGCCTCAATGGTTCTGCGGAATCCCTGCCAATGACTCAGAACAAAACCTAAACATGTATACATCAGATAAACCCCAAATGAAGAACTTTCTCCAAAACGACTTCCCTCTATACTCTTTAAAAAGCATCAAGAACCGGCTCCTGGGTGGGTGAGTCGACTGGGTGTCCGACTGTTGATTTCAGCTCAGGTCATGATCTCAGGGTCATGGGATTGAGCCCTTGTCGGGCTCCACACTGAGCACAGAGTCGGATTGAGATTCTCTCTCTCCCTCTTCCTCTGCCCCTTCCCCCACTTGCATCCTCCCTCTCTCTATATAAATAAAATCTAAAAAATAATAAAAATAAATGAATAAATATTGCTTCAGGAACAGGGGCACCTGGCTCAGTCAGTACAGCATGCGACTCTTGATCTTGGGGTCACGAATTCGAGGCCCCACACTGAGCGTAGAGCTTACATGGAAAAATAAAAAGTTAAAAAAGAAAAGCATCAATGAAAAAGACAAAGGCTATGGAACGCATTCCACGTAAAGGAACATCAAGTATGATAAAGTTTTTGTAAATGTTTATAAACAAATATACAGCTTAGCAAAGCATAAAATTGGGACTTTGAACTGGGATGGGGAGGGGAGACTGGTTATAAGGCCTTTGAATGAAAAACAGAACAAAATTAACTACAAGACTGTGGATTACATAACAGGATGTTATATAACGTTTTCCACCATTATCTAACAGGTAACACTATTAACTACTGTTAGTAATAACTTACTACATACCTAACATCTAATTGATAACTAATAGATACTATTATGTAGTATAATATCTAATATTACCAAGTAAGTGGTGCTAAATTTCTATAATCAGCCTCTCCTAAATCCCTCTTCCCAAGATACCTCCTGTGGGACTTCCTTCCTTCAGAAAGCTAAAGTAAGCTGTCATTGAATTACAGGTATATTCCTGGTGTTATGTGGCTGATGGAGCCACAAAACAGGCAAAATGTTAACAATTGGGGTATTTGGGTAAAGAGTATATGAGAATTCCTTATACTATTTTTGCAACTTTTCAATGGAAAAACTTTTAATTATATAAAAACAAAGTCTTGGGGCACCTGGGTGGCTCAGTTTTTAAGCGTCCGCCTTCGGCTCAGGTCATGATCTCAGGCTCCTGCGATTGAGCCCCGCATCGGGCTCCCTACTCGGCGGGAAGCCTGCTTCTCCCTCCCCCACTCCCCCTGCTTGTGTTCCCTCTCTCGCTGTGTTTCTCTCTGTCAAATAAATAAATAAAATCTTAAAAAAATAAAAATAAAAAATAAGTAAAGTCTTAAAATATCAGGAAACAGCCATAACAGTAATAATGGGAATAACAAAGATGATCACGAAATTTTATGGAAGCTCATTAGTTTATTCTTTCTTGGCAGTGTTTAAAAGTTTCCATAGTTGGGCACCTGGGTGGCTCAGTTGGTTAAGCGACTGCCTTCGGCTCAGGTCATGATCCCGGAATCCCGGGATCGAGTCCCGCATCGGGCTCCCTGCTCAGCAGTGAGTCTGCTTCTCCCTCGGGCCCTCCCCCTTCTCATGCCCTCTCTCTATCTCATTCTCTCTCTCAAATAAATAAAATCTTTAAAAAAAAAAAAAGTTTCCATAGTTATGGGGCACCTGGCTGGCTCAGTCAGTGGAGCATGCAACTCTTCATCCTGGGGTTATAAGTTTGAGCCCCACATTGGGTAGAGATTACTTAAAGATAAAATCTTAAGGGGTGCCTGGGTGGCTCAGTCAGTTAAGTGACAGACTCTTGATTTAGGCTCAGGTCATGATCTCAGGGTCCTGGGATCAAGCCCTGCATCAGGCTCCACGCTCAGCAGGGAGTCTGCTTAAGATTCTCTCCTTCTCCCTCTGCCCCATCCCCTGCATGAGCAGGCACACTCTTCATGCGTGCTCTTTCTCTCTCCCCCCTACCCAATAAATAAATAAATAGATCTTTTTTAAAAAAATAAAGAGGGTGGGGGGATGGGGTAACTGGGTGATGGGTATTAAGGAGGGCACATGTTGGGATGAGCACTGGGTGTTATATGCAACTAATGAACTGTTGAACACTACAATAAAAACTTATGATGTACTGTATGCTGGCTAACTGAACGTAATAAAATATAAAAAAAATAAAAAGAAATTATCATAAAAAAATAAAGAATAAAATAAAATCTTAAAAAAAAGGTCCATAGTTAAAATACACCAGGGGACAAACACAAAGAAATATATGATAATTTGTTTATAAACAAACATAACAAACATACACAAAGAACCACCAAACAGAAATGCATTAAAAGCTTCACAGTTGCTATGTTTACATTATGGATTAATGGATAATTGAAAATTTTTTTCCCTCATATTTCTGTATTTTCTGAATTTTCCATGATTCTATATGAATAAAACATATTATTAGTAATAAGTGAAACAAAATAGTTGACAATACTTGAAAAAACTCAGAAAAGTCGAAGCCCATTAGCCTTGCTTTTCAGGTCCTCCAGAATCAAGTGCTAACTACCCGGGGTCTGATTCCTGCTAGTTCCTATGGCTTAACGAGAACATATCCAAGAGATTAGGAACTCGAGTTCTGGACTCAGACTGCTTTCATCCCAACCCCAGCTCAGCCTCTTTACTAGGTGGGGACAATGGGCAAATCATTTATGCTCCGTGGGTCTTAATATCATTTTAGAGAACAGAAAAAGAAAGCAGAATTTCTTCACAGAGTTATGGTGTGGTACAATGTATTCGTTTGTATAAAACCGTCATTGGTGAGGTCGGCAATTAAGCATTCATTATTAATGCCCATGCCCGATTACACATCCTATGTATTATCCGACTGATGTGAATACTGTTATAAAAGAAAAATGCCAAATCCCACTCACGTGGAACCTTGCTGTCAGTAGCCAAGGCGTCACTCCTTCCACCTCCGTGCAGCCCTTTGTGAGAAGTCAGGCTGGGGAAAGAAAAGAATGTTATGAAATGCCATGGTCATGTCGCCCTTCTCAGTAAAAGTTAAAACCTCCCCTCCCCTCCGTGCAATCTGGAAGCAACCCTTGTCAACAACTAGAGCCCAAGACCTGATGTTTACTGCCCACCTGCTTGTACTCATTAACCTTTGTCTTACATTTTTCCTTAAGCTCTTCTCCCCTAGCTTACCTTGGGAGAGGAAGAAGCAGGCTTCCCGCGGAGCAGGGAGCCCGATGCTGGGCTTGATCGCAGGACCCTGGGACCAAACGACCGAGCCACCCAGGTGCCCCTCTAGCTTACCTCTTAACTCAGGCAAGTGAAACCTGAAACCACGCCTTGGGTGATGACAACTGCCAAGACATTCCCCAGGCCCAGACCACCCAGACCTTTGGAGCCCAACTCATGCTTGCACAGAAGAACCATGGAGTGACTTCTGGAATGACCTATTTCCTTTGCTTCATTATAATACTAAAATCTCTGCCCAACGTGGGGGGAGGGAGGGAGGGCTCAGCCTCATTTACATAACATAGTGTATGTATAGGCATGTTTCCTTAAGGCGCATGCTCAACCTTATGCCCGCCTCTACATAGGATGACAAGACTTCCCTATCTAAAACTCCTTCCTAACCCTAAACAAAAGGAACCCATTCACCCCCTTTTGGGGAATCGCGGTTTTGGAAGCCATTCCCTGTGATTTCTTTATTTGTGGCAAATAAGCTTCCTTTGTGCAATGATTCAAGCTGGTAGTTTCTAACTCACCAAGGAGGGAACTCACGTTGGTTCTGTTACACCCTCGCCTTCCTAAAAGAGAGTTTATAAGGGTCCTGGGATTACCCAGCATCATGCAGGAATCAGAGAACAGAGAAGGTTCTGTCGTGGGATATCTGACCCTAACCCAGGGACCTGACTGCTCCTCAGGAAATTAATACTAAGAAAGGTCACCATTCACCATGTGCCAGAACCCGTTTTTAGATTTTTATTTGTATCACTATAACTGACACGCACCTGGCTCTGGGATTCCCAAACAGACCAGATTCGACCTCTTGCCCCTGACAAAATCCACAGGCAGAGAAACGAGTGGTGGTGAAATAAGAAAGGAAATTTATTTCAGTGAGGCCAACACCAAAAAGACTACAAACAGCTCAAAGGCTGTCTTCAGGGTACTGAAAATACTTCCAGGTTTATACAAGGAAAATGTGGGGCAACGGCAGGTGCGCAGCAAAGGGCAAGTGATCACTGTCTCAATCACGGGTGGGGCCCTGCTGGCTCAGAGCAGTCCTTATTGCATGAGGGGGTAGTCTGGGTTCCCACCAGGGGATGCTATGCCCTCGGGGGTCTCCCACCCGAGCGGAGACAAGCTGGAAAGAAGCCAACTAGAAAGTCTGAGGTCAAAATGGAGGCAGCTTTCACCACCTCTTTCAATTCCCCAACACCAGGAAGCAGAAGCACCCGTGGGTGTAGGGAGGCAGACACTGGGCGAGCTGAGACACGCAGAAACTCTCAAACCAGGCCATAGGTGACCCCACCCCACCCCAGGACTCGCAAACCACCCTGAACGCAGAGACTCCCCCTGAGATGCACACCACAGCCCTCCAGCTCCATACCTCCGTACTCTACCCAGGTTTCTTTTCTCCTCAATCGCCCGGTCGCTGCAGGTACCAAGCGCAGATCCAGGAAGTTTGGAAGCGACGGGAGAGGCGGAACTGACGCACCTCTCCCAAAGAAAATTCGGTAGCAACCTCACACTCCCCCAACGGAAGTGCCCGCGAGACCGCGGAGCTCCTGGACTACACTTCCCAGAAAGCACCAGATCCGCCTTCCAGAGCGGAAGTGCACGCTACCACACAGAGCGTCGGGACTGCACCTCCCAGAATGCATCAGATCTACCTTCCGGAGCGGAAGTGCTCGCCACCACACAGAGCGTCTGGACTACACCTCCCAGAATGCTGAAGGCAGAACATTCTTAATCTCACCCTCCAAAACAAGTGTTGCGGCTACTGGGAGCTCCTTGTCTATACTTCCCCAAATGCCAGAATGGAAGGAATCACATAGTCCCGACTTCTTGGGTGGTCATACGGCTTTCTACGTTAAGAGTCTGCGTTACCTCTGCCTGAGTCCTCAGCAACATTATTCCATGGATACAACTTCCTGAATTCGAAATGCCTCCCAATTGTGACAGGAGTATTGTTGGAAAGGGAACGGGTGAGGAGATAAAATCTTCAGGAAATTAACGGGAAATGATCGCTTAGGCGACACTAGGTGATTGAAAGGAGGATGATGTTTAGTCATAATCTGACGATATGAGGCTAAAACAGAGTTTAAGAATGGGTGGTGTAGAATGATTCGGGAGAGGCGGTGAGGAGCGAGGAAGTTACCCGCCCCTACTCCAGACCCTGATGTACCACAAGTTTAGTAGGAAAAACAGCTTAAAAGGGCCAAAGTGGAAGCTTGTCCTCATCGAAAATCGCTCTTCCCTCACTTAAACTTTTCATTAAAATTATCACGCTTCGGAGGTGAAAACGTCAAGTTTCAGTGAAGTTAAAAATTGTCCACTCTCTCAAAGCAAGCAGGACTGCTGCAGAGCTTGACATTTGAGTTATTCTGATTCCCAAAGCCTACGATTTAATGCCAAAGCACTGAGGAGGATTTTGTAGGTGAGGGAGCATGTTCTAGTGTTGAGTTTTTTCCTTTATATTTTCTGGTTAAAATTCTTTATTATAGTTAGCAATTATTAAACAGGTATGTTACTGAAAACTAAAAATAGCATGAAGTAAATAAGAAAAAAATGCGCCTAGAATCTTTCCCCTTGAAGATAAAAAATGTTTGTCTCAAATATGTTTGTCTCTACATAAAGTTACATATACCTATCAACATACATATTTGATTTTTAAAAATGAGGTCTCATGTTCTCTATCCATTTTTCTAAACTCAGTATAAGCTAAACATTTTCTAGTATCAGTCACTGAAAATCTAACTCTTCCCACATGATGGCTGTATGATGTTGCATTGAGTGAATTGAGAATGAAAAACAGCCCCTGACATCTGGTGAAACAATATTACACACTGGACATTGATTTAGAGCATATACAGCATCTGGGAGGATGGTGTGCAGCCCCACAGGTTACTGCCCCCTAATTGGCAGTATAACTGAGGCTTCAAATATAATTTCACCATACCATGAAGCCAATTACCTCAGGATGATAGGGTAAATAGAAAGTGGCAGAGCAGCTTACATGGCTGCCAAGACCTATTGCAGAAGCTTCTCTTGTTCTGGGCCCAGTCAGAAAGTTTTCAGGTCATTCATAAAGGGCAAAGTGGCACACCCTGATTAGGCTTATATTACCTCTAAAATCCAAAGAGGCTCACTAGATATTGTAACTCATTTTTGTGGGAAGATACAAAACATTCTTTTTTTTTTTTTAAGACTTTATTTGACAGAGAGAGAGAGGAGAGGGAGAGGGAGAAGCAGACTCCCCACTGAGCAGGTCCAGGACTCGATCCTAGGACCCTGAGATCATGACCTGAGCAGAAGGCAGACGCTCAACCGACTGAGCCACTCAGGCGCCCCGACACATTCTTCACCTAGAAGGACAGCTCAACATGCAACACTGAATGCCTGGAAATTTTACGTGAGGTGCAAGACCCCTGCATATTTCTGGGATTTATTCCCACCCTCTGACATGCAAGTCAATACATCTAAGGTAGTTCCTACCTCTTGCTCACCAGATCCAATCAGCACAATATCATCAATGTACCATTTGAGAGCAGCAATGATTCAGTCACTGCAAAAAAAAAAAAAAAAAAAGTTTGATTATTTCCTCTCAGTGCATAGTCACCCAGGTACAATAGCCGTAGGTCCCTTTGGGGAACTCTGGAGAAAAGATTAACAGCCCACATTTTTGCAGTATGGAAGGTTCCATCCTCAAGAGGACCTGGCCTCTCCTTTACCCAAAGGATTCTGGGTTTGTAAACTGGACATGTCTCAGAATTGATTCAGGAGCTGTGATTCTCTGTTTTGATGATTCAAGTTAGACTTCTATTTACTTGACCTAAAACTCTGCCACCTATGTAGATCAAATAATAATTTAGTAGCTTGCCATCTTTTTATTCACTAGGGACACAAAGATCAACAAGGAAATGTAGAGTTATGCTTTTTTTAAGATTTTATTTATTTATTTGACAGAGAAAGAGAGAGCACAAGTAGGTGGAGTGGCAGGCAGAGGAAGAGGGAGAAGCAGGCTCCCCGCCAAGTGGGGAGCCTGACGTGGGTCTCCATCCCAGGACCCTGGGATCGTGACCTGAGCCGAAGGCAGATGCTTAACTGACTGAGCCACCCAGGCGCCCCAAGTGTAGAGTTATTCTTAGAAAATATACTGTAAGCCCTAAGGAGTGATTGTGGAAGCAGCTGAAATGTCAGCAGTGTTCCTGTTCTCAGGCATTTGAACGCAATCGCCTGGTAGGAACAGGATCCCATGATCCCCAGGGGCAGGGCATAAGTTAGGAGCTATGAAAGAATGTAACCTTTAATCTCCCCCTTTCTGGTCCTGGCGATTGCTAGCCCAAACATCCTGCTCCTCCTTTATCCCATGACTGACTCCCTGCGTGCCTACGCATAGGAGAGAGTGCAGGCCTGCTTTACAGCTTCAGGATATTTGCCATCCCTTTGTACTCCTTTCCCATGCTTCCAGGCATCTGTCCTTGCTTTTCTGATAAAAAGATAAATAAATAAAAGCTATGTACAGGATTCAGCTGCTGCCGCCCTCCCTTGCAGAAGGCAGCCCTGCACAGCCGCTCAGATTGGTGTCTGAGAACTTTATTTCAGTGCATGACAACAGGAAAGGTCAAGAAGCCAGTGCATAATGACTTGAACTCTCAAGTCATTAATACTTGAGCTGGAATTTGAAGCCATGTGCTCTTTTTCCCCCCACTTTCTCCAACATAGTTAGGAACAACCCCCCCTTATACTCCTTAGCTTGACCAATCAATATGTTCTAAGGTCTTCAATAGTTATTTCCTTAGGAATACTGAATATATATTTCATATGTTTGCTGTCACACCATTGCAAATGCCCTATTTTCCATGGGAAATAGAGTCATTCGTGCCTTTAAATATAGTAAGATTCAAGAACCAGTCCTGGAAAACACAATTCAGAAAATTTATTCTTAACATTCTGTTCCTCTAGAACCACCCTTGGAGCAAAAATCCTTTTTTTCATAGATTCAACCAAAGAAAGAGAATTAAGTGAAGAGATTTATTCCAAGAAACTGACTTACTAGATTGTGGGGCTGGCTTGGCAAAGTCAAAATCCTTAGGACAGGACATCAGGAAGGCCAAAATGGACGTCTTGGCCACAAACAAAAGATGCTACCAACAGACAGAATAATGGTTTCTTACAGGGAAGCTTCAGCTCTGCTCTTAAGGACTTTCAACTTGTTAAATCAGGCCAACCCAAGTTATCTAGGATACTACACCCTACGCAAAGTCAATTGATTCTGGACTTTAATCACATTTACAAAATACCTTCCTAACACCTAGGTCTGTGACATAATAACTGGGGACTGTAGTCTAGGCGAGTTGCTACATAAAATTGACCATCACACAGATCTTCGTCAGCAGGGAACTGGTTAAGGAAAAAATGATGGTTGGTACACCAGAATACTGTGTAGGCACTAGAAATGTGGTTGGAGGTTAATTTATTGACATGAACTTCAAGAATTGTTTCAATTTAGTGAAAAACTCTAATTAGAAAATAGTATGCATTAGGTTCTAAGTTTGTAAAATTCTATACAACTCTTACTTGTATACATAGATGTACTGAAGCATGCTCATCAAAATATTAATGGTGGTGAATTCCTACTACTTCCCACTTTCTTCTTTTGACTTTCCTATATTGATGTGCTGCTTTTCAATGTCCAGGCATTATTCTTGGCAGTAAAAAAAAATCAAAGTATTTATACTTTTTTTTAAAGACTTTATTTATTTGAGAGAATGAGAGAGAGAGAGAACATGAGAGGGGGAGGGTCAGAGGGAGAAGCAGACTCCCCACTTTATCAGTCTCAGAACCTCTGCCTATTCATCTGGAGATTGATATTTTGTTACATATGCTATGTCTTAATACAAATATTTAATTCTTGAGAGAGATTAATCTGGTTATGTCAATCTCCAGATGAATAGGCAGAGGTTCTGAGACTGATAACTTTAGAATCAGTCACAGTGTGTCAAATAAACAGGAAATGCTGTGGTACTGCACTCAGATCTTTAAATGGATATCCTACCAATATGGTTTGATGTTAATGACTTGGGAAGCTTCTCCTTTTCAAACAGAGAAAAGATGATGACCTCAAACAAGCCCCATCAAAGGTAGGTAAGTTCAAAGCTAAGATAGGGAAACATGGTGACAAGACGGAGCTGAAACTGGATGATCTCACAAAAGCTCTGGAACTAGATACAGATCTAAAAATTTACTGCTGAGGGTGGTTGGGAGTCTAGGCCTCCCACTTTGGGAGACACGAACATGAACACAAGGCAGCCAGTCTCAGGTGCTGTCACTACCTGTGACCACCTTGAGGACCCCTGCTATGTAGCTTAGGTATACACCATACCTGTAGTCTTTTTTTTTTTTTTAAGATTTTATTTGACAGAGAGAGACACAACAGGAGAGGGAACACAAGCAGGGGGAGTGGGAGAGGGAGAAGCAGGCTTCCCGCAGAGCAGGAAGCCCAACACGGGGCTTGATCCCAGGACCCTGGGATCACGACCTGAGCCGAAGGCAGACGCTTAATGACTGAGCCACCCAGGCACCCCTGCCATACCTGCAGTCTTTTCAGTTTTAGGAGTTAAGTACTTTTGGCTTAATCTGGTGAGATTTGTTACAAATAATTGCTTTGGTGATGATTTATCCAGTATTTGGTGACAGTTTAAAAGGAAAAAAAATTAATAGGCCCTAGATTTTTGTACACCACGTACGCAGGAAAGTTTATAGAGCAGTTCTGAAACCGTGATCCTTAGAAAGCCCTGCTTGCAAGCCTGGACTTTGGCTGGTGTCAGGGAACATGGATTTGGGAAGACTATGCCATTTCATTACTGCTAAGAGAGGTTCACTGTGCCTGAACTGTATGATGTGGTTTACTCTGAATACCTGCTCTTCCTCTTGTAGGCTTGGATTTTGTTACATGCTAAGTAGATGGTGCCTACATGACCAGCCCTTAATAAGAACCCTGGGTACTGGTCTCTAATGAAGTCTTTTTGTAGGCATTTCACACGTGTGGCCACAATTCAATGCTGGAGTTGAGTGAGTCCTGATACCGTGGGAAGAGGGCTTTTAGAAGCTCACGCCTGGTTTCCTTTCACTCGTATCTGGACTATAAGGAATAGAGCACAGGATCATGGGGGAGGGAGGGAAAACTGAATGGGAAGAAATCAGAGAGGGAGACAAACCATGAGACTCTCAACTCCGGGAAACAAACTGAGGGTTGTGGAAAGGGAGGTGCATGCGGGGATGGGGTAATTGGGTGATGTGTGATGGGCATTAAGGAGGGCACGTGATGTGATGAGCTCTGGGTGTTATACGCAACTAATGAATCATTGAATACTACATCAAAATCTAATAATGTACTATATGTTGGCTAACTGAATTTTTTTTAAAGATTTTATTTATTTATTTGAGAGAGAATGAAAGATAGAGAGCACGAGAGGGAAGAGGGTCAGAGGGAGAGGCAGACTCCCTGCTGAGCAGGGAGCCCGATGTGGGACTCGATCCCAGGACTCCAGGATCATGACCTGAGCCGAAGGCAGTCACTCAACCGAGCCACCCAGGCGCCCTTGGCTAATTGAATTTAAATTAAAAAAAGAAAAGAAAGGACATCTATGTACCTTTTCCCTTTACTGATTTTGCTCTGTATTCTTTCACTGAAATATAGTCCTAAATCAACTATATTCTGAGATCTCTGAGCAAATCCAAGAACCTCAAGGTGGTGTTAGGGACCCTCAAACGACTACATAAATTGAGACAGCATGGATCTCAGTATCTGGTATCCTGTGAAGATATAGCCCAGAAAACTGATTATGAAAATGAATCTATCAGATATATTTTGTAAATAAAGCCCTTCAGTCAATACACTTAAATTATCACCATGGTGTCCGAGAAGTGTGGAAAGGCATCCAAAGCTGCCCTTCCTCCTTAGAGGCTTGACTGCTATGCTATGATCTCTACCCATGCATTTTTTTCTTCAAAGCATTTCTTTTTGGGGCACCTGGGTGGCTCAGTCAGTTAAGTGTGTACCTTTGACTCAGGTCACGATCTCAGGGTCCTGGGATTGAGCCCCACATCAGGCTCCCTGCTCAGTGGGGAGTCTGCTTCTCCTTCTCCCTCTGCCTGCCACCCAACCTCCTGGGCTTGTGCTCTCTCTCTCTTTCAGACTCTTTCTCTCACATAAATAGATAAAATCTTAAAAAAAAAAAAAAAAAACATTTCTTTTAACCTCCACAACATAACCACTTTACTGGTATCTCCAGTATTTGCTCCCTGGCTTATGCCTCAAGATGCATCTTGTGCATCAACTACAAAGCTGGTTGATCATACTCGTTAGCTTATCAGTGCATTCAAAGCAAAATTTTTTTTTGCTTTTGAATACTGCTTGAGTCCTCCTCCTTAATTTTGATCTTATCTGCCATACGACAATGTAGAGCAATCTTAATTAGGTGACTTAACTGTAAGGGACTCATAATTTTTCAAATTCTATTGTACATAATTTACCAGTTTGATCAAATGGATGTTCATTAAGAAATAATATAATAGAAGGGTGCCTGGGTGGCTTAGTTGGTTAAGTGTCCAACTCTGGGTTTCGGCTCAGGTCATGACCTCAGGGTCGTAGGATCAAGCTCAGCATTTGGCTCTGTGCTCAGCAGGGTCTGCTGGAGATACTCCTTGCCAGAGAATATTAAGAGTGTCCACTCCTACATTATGTATGGACATACACAGAATACACACATATATAAAAGAGAGTTATGAATTTTATTATACTACGAAGGCTATGGTCTGATTTCACAAAGCCTGTATTATGTTCTCCTGATATTACATGTCCTTGACATTACCTCAAACGCCCCATGTTATTATGGGCTCATATGAAATTTAAACAAATTCTTATTGGTGAACATTTGTTATTTCCAGTTTAAAAACTGTGTGACATTAATGATGTGGTTTTCATCTTTTCATTGTTTGAATCTCATAATCATGTATTTCTGTAGTATGATTTCCAGATCACAGTTGCATGTTACACATTCCATTATATACTGCTTTTCAAAAGATATGTATTGTCACCAAGAAAGAAAAACATGTAACTGTCATTTCTGCACCAGTAATATATCTGATGAAACCACCAAATTCCAAATTTTTCTATTATTTATTTCATGGAGATGAGGGAAGAATATGGGAAGCTGACAAGCTAAATGTCCTTCAAATTTGGCATAGCTTCTACCAGAGAAATTTGATTTTAAAAAAAAAAGTGCTACAATTAGAAGGCAATCATATAAAAGATTACACAGAAATGCAGAAATTTAAAAATCAATGAACTCAAAATTAAGAAAATTTTTATCATTACTAACTCTGACACTTCTAATGTTACTTTGAACCCTTGCCTTAACGTTGTTGAGAAAATTCAATTAAGCTATGTGCAGTGGCGTTATCATAGAGTTAAAATTGTCTGCAATGTGAGAAAAATCACAAAATAGAGTTGATTTTCTACTGTATAAACCAATGGAACATGAAATCAAGACCGAAAAAATAACCCAACCACAGAATAGAGGCTGAGGGTTTACCAAGAGCCAACTGCAATAGGATACTACCAAAATAATGCTGTGGAATGCAGTACTGGGTATTTCTGTGTTTCAATTCCTATTTGTTTCTCTGAATTATTTAATTTTTTGTATTGTTATGTTTCTGAATTTTTTTTGCTGGATTCCTTTTCCAGATACAATTTTTAAATATTGCACATTTTCTTTGATTAAAATATTTTATCACAACTTTCTCCCATTTTAAGAACTATGTCTCAGTATGGACCTTCTTGGGCTGATTTTTGGGGTGCTCTCTGTGCCTCCTGGATCTATGTTTCCTTCCCCACAAAAAGGAAGTTTTCAGCAATTATTTCTTCCAATAAATTTTTTTGTCTCTCTTCTTCTTCTGGGATCCCTTTAATACAAATGTTATTATGCTTGATGGAGTCAGAGTTCCCTAAGACTATCCTCAATTTGCATAATTTTTTTCCTCTTATTTGCTCAGGTTGATTACTCTCCCATTACTCTGCCTTCCAGGTCATTAATTCATGCCTCTGTCATCTAGCTTATTTATTCCATCAAGTGTTTTATTGTGTTCTTCATCTCCTATTGGTTCTCTTTAATCTCTGTGCTAAGGTTCTCACTGATGTCCTCCACTCTTCTCAAGTCCAGTGAGTATCTTCATGACCATTACTTTAAATTCTCTATCTGGCATATTACTTGCATCTGTTTTGCTTAGGTCTCTTGCTGTGGTTTCGTCCTGTTCTTTCATTTGGAAATACTCCCTCCCCACCCATTTTGTCTCTATCTCTGTGTATTATTAAAGTCAGCTAGGTCTCTTGGCTCTTGAAGGTAATGGCCTCATAAAGGGGTCTGTACTGCCCTGCAGTGCATTGTCGCCTGTTCCTCGGGAACTGTCGCTTCAGCGAGTGTCTCCTAAGCGTGCTGCCTGTGCCTGCTGTGGCGTCCTGGCCTCTTTTTCCTTTAGTCATCTGCGGAGGCTCTCTGCCTGTTGTGGGCAGTGTTTGGTCCTCAGCTAAGTGGGGCACATCCTAATGTGTGTTGGTCTGCATGCTGCCACCGCCACCTCTGGATGTGCTATCCCATGAAACACGCAGGTCAGGAAACGAGGTGTTCGTGGGGTTTGCTCTGATCTCCCGGGGGAGGGGACGTGCAGTGCCGAGGCTGAAGCAAGTGTGATGGGGAAAGGCGGATCCCTGGACCACAGGGGTGCGGGGCTTCGTGTAAGCAAGTTAGGTAAGGAGTGTTGGCGCCGCACTGGTTCCGGCAGGTGGCCATGGGTTTATGCTGGGGGGCTGTGGGGGGAAATGGTGCCTACCAGCTCCTTTGTTCCTGGAGGGGTCCCTGCCTCTCCAGGCCATGCTCTGAGTAAGACATTCTCTCTCCCGTCCGCCCCTGGCATTTTTCAAACTGCTGATTCCTGGCTGTACCTCCACTGGTTGGTTGTCATGCTCTCCCAGAGCCCAGCCCACAGACATTGAAAATCCAAGCTTTAAGTCCCACTGGTTGTAAGAACTCATGAAATTTGGCCCCTCTCACTTTCAAAGCCAAATGTTATGGGGATTTGTCTTCCCCATGTGGTCTCCCCCCGTGATAATCTGTTTTTTGCCTTCTCCACACCACCAGCTCTGTCCCCACCACAGATGGCCACAGTCTGTTTCACTCTCAAACTGCATCTTTGCCCTTCCTACCTTCTTTGATATTGCCTCTTCTCTACCTTTAGTTGATGAGCTTGTTATGCCAGTCTTCAGGCCGATTTCTGGGTTACTTATGCTGATGTGATTGTTGTCTAGCTGTATCTAAGGGAGGAGGAAAGCTTAGGGTCCCCCTACTCTGCGATCTTCCCTAATTCTCTCTCTTCCTTTTGACTCACTTAGCAAGTACTAAGTGCACATACAGAGTGCTACTCAATATTGATTGTATAAATTCAGCATAAAATAAACTCCCTGCCCTCACAAAGCTTATATTTCAGGGGACATCGATTTTAATATCCACCATTAGAGTTTGATAAGTGCCTAAAGAAAGATTATTTCAACAGCCTGTTTCTTGAGTGAAAACTATAACTGCTAAGGTTCTAACTAAAGTCCTCATTGCACCATTTGTGTGATCTTGGGATCACTGGGATGTAGTCAGCTATGGCAGAAACATTGTTACTGAAACAAATGGTTTCCCTCCTATGAGACTGGATGAAATTTATCACCAGCATGGATTCTGTGATGAATTTTAACATATGAACTTGAACTGAACTGCTTACCACATATCTTACACTTATAAGGTTTCTCCCCTGTGTGAACTCTCTGATGAGATTTTAGATGTCCAGACTGACTGAAGACCTTACCACACATATTACATTTGTACGGTTTCTCTCCAGTGTGGACTCTCTGATGAACTTTAAGATTTGAGGTCCTAGTGAAGTGCTTACCACATGCCCTACAGGTGTATGGGTTCTCTCCCATATGGACACTCTGGTGCACATCAAGATCCAAGCTTGTCTTGTAGCCCTTCCCACACTCCTCACATTTGTATGGTTTTTCTCTGGTGTGGACTTTCTGATGAGCTTGCAGGCATGATTTCTGACCAAATCCCTTCCCACACTCTTCACATTTGAATGGTTTTTCTCCACTGTGGACTCGCTGATGTGTCAAAAGAGGTGAGACCCATCTGAAGCTCTTCCCACATTCCTTGCAATTATAGGGTTTCTCCTCTGTGTGGAACCTCCGGTGGTAATAAAGATGTGTCCTAGAAAAGAAGCTCTTTCCACATTCCTCACATTTATGTGGTTTCTGTCCCATGTGAACTTTCTTATGGATACGAAGACGTGAACGCCAAGTATAGGACTTCCCACACTCCTCACATTTGTACGGTTTTTCTCCTGTGTGGACTACACAATGACTATTAAGTGCTGATCTACGACGAAAGCTCTTACCACAGATATCACACTTGAACGGCTTCTCCCCAGTGTGGACTCTCTGATGGTCCTGAAGATGGCAAGCATTAATGAAGGCCTTCCCACATCCCTTACACTTATAAAGTTTCTCTCCCGAGTGTAACCTGCAATGATTACTAAGTTCTGATCTACGACTGAAGCCTTTCCCACATTCTTCACATTTGAATGGCTTCCCTATAGTGTGGACTTTCTGATGAGTTTGCAGATGTGAGCTCTGACTGAATTCCTTACCACATTCATCACATCTATACCGTTTCTCTCCCAGGTGAACTCTCTGATGAATACGAAGTGCTGAGCTATAAAAGAAGCATTTCCCACACTCATGACATGTATGAGACTTCTCTCCTGAGTTTAACTGCTGAAGATCACAGTTGGAGGTATGACTGAAGAATTTTTTACACCCATTTCCCTGGTAAGTTCTCTGGCCTGTCTGAATTATAGACAGTCCTGCCCCAACCTGGCCAGGTAAATCACGTTGTTTGTAGAATTGAGAACTTTTTATCATGGAGTCTTGACACCGGGTTAAGTCATTAGCAATGTGTTGCCAGATTTGCCAGCAGGAAAGTTCTTCATATGGTTCTGCTTTAGGAATAGTCTCCATCTCATGTTGGACTTTTTCTCCTAAAACGACAGAGAATGCAGATGTGGACAAATGAAGGCTTTGTTCAATGTCTTCATAGCTATATGTTAGGAAAGAGCATGGGACTTTATTTTTTTTTTAAGATTTTATTTATTTATTTGACAGAGAGAGACAGTGAGAGAGGGAACACAAGCAGGGGGAGTGGGAAAGGGAGAAGCAGGCTTCCCGCGGAGCAGGGAGCCCGATGTGGGGCTCAATCCCAGGACCCTGGGATCATGACCCAAGCCGAAGGCAGAAGCTTAACGAATGAGCCACCCAGGCACCCCAAGAGCATAGGACTTTAATGAATCCAGGGAATATTCCCTACATCCTTCTAGTGTATATCATGGTCTCTGGTTTAAATGCCTACACAAACCAAGAGGTAGTCTAGTAGGCTCCTATCCACTAAGCAAGCATCAATGAAACAAATTGAGAATCACTCCAAGCCTCCTATGTGATATACAAGTTAGAAATCAAAGACTTAATAACAAAAGTAATAATGATATAGGTTAATTTTGCTGTTTGTACTGAATTTCATAAATCAGTGTAAACTCTTATTTTTTAAAAAAATAAGCTCCACACCCAGCATGGAGCCCAATACAGGGCCTGAACTCACAACCCTGAGATCAAGACCTGGGCTGAGATCGAGTCAGACACAACTGACTAAGCCTCACAAATGCCCCAAGAAACTCTTCAATAGTAAATTATGCAGGAAATAAATTATATACACAATGAAGGCCTTTGTCCTCAACATCTGAGAGATAGTTCTAAGCCCCTGGCATGTCAGGCCTCAAAGGAATGTCGTAGGGTCTTCAGTCACATTCGATAGTTTAACAGTATGATTTAGGGACAAGGCTGACCACACCAGAAAGACCAAGAATATGATTTTAGGTGGGGCTTTCAATCACCTGGTGGTGTGGACCAAGAGGCTGAGAATAACCATATGAAACCATTCAGTCTACACTGGTCATATGACAGAGCTCCAATAATTACTCTGGACACAGGATCAGAGTTTCCCTAACTGGTAATATCCTGTGTATAACCGTACACCTTCATTTTGGAAAGTAACACAATAACACATCCCTGACTCCACGGAGAGAAAACATGGCAACTCTGCATCTGGTACTTCCCTAAACTCCTTCTCATATGCTTTTTCTCTTGCTTGACTGTAAGGTGTATCCTTCCCTGTAATAAACACTAACTGTGAGTATAATAGCATTCAGTTAATTCTGCCAGTCCTTTTAGAAAATGATTCAATCTGAAGGCAATTTTGGAAACTCTCAAACCCGTAGTTGGTGTTAAGTGCCAGGAGGTCTGTGTAAACTGTCCCTCTAAACTTTATAGTTGCTTAAACAATTTGCAATCCTATATATCAAGCACCTAGAACTGATTATAGCTATATATTCTAAGTATTCCTGCAAATTCTACATAATGTGTATAGTTCATCTTATTTTCCTGTGTTAATACACACAGTTAATACACCTTAAAAAGGGAGAGCAAACTGTAGTTTTGCTGTGAAGTCAGACTACCCACAAGGAGGATGGTGTTCCTGATCAAATAATTGAAAATGGCAAGAACCACTAGGGGTGAAAAGACTACACAAAGGTTTATGCACTGGTTTCTTCTGAGGCTTCTGGACTGTCTCATTCAAAACAGAGTGAGGAAAATCTTTGAATGTAGATAAATTAGCCTTTCACATCAGTTTTTCTGATTGAAAACTGCAGCCTTTTAGTCAGCTGTAAAATAAATTTAACATCATGGAATAAGCATTTAGGAAAAAGGGACAGAAACTATCAGAGCATCGTTACTCACAGGAGTGGGGTGACTGCATGAATTCTCTTATAAAGTCATACATATAAATCTACATATGCATGAAATATTTTTTTTGGATACACTGAAAGATGCATTTCTCAGTAGGGCTTGTGTTCTAAAAAGTCTGAAAACCTAGTTCAGGAACTCAGTAGGTCTTTCATTAAACAAATTGTTCATATGAAAGGTAAGCCCTAAGGGTGAAAACTTGGAAAAATATTAATAGGTGAGTGTGTACCTCTTGGTAGATACTACTTTATGGTTATATTTAATAAACTATCCCTTTATAATAGTTTTCTTTGGGGTACCTGGGTGGCTCAGTCAGTTAAGCATCTGCCTTTGGCTCACGTCATGATCCCAGGGTCCTGGGATCAAGTCCTGCATTGGGTTCCATGCTCAGCAGGGGAGTCTGTTTCTCCCTCTTCCTCTGCCCCTCTGCCTGCTTTTGCACACATGTTCTCTCTCTCAAATAAATAAATAAAAATCTTAAAAAATAATAATAATAGTAGGGGACTTTAACACCTCACTTACATCAATGGACAGATCATCTAAACAGAAAATCAACAAGGAAACAATGGCTTTGAATGATTCACTGGAACAGATGGATTTAACAGACATATTAAGAACATTCCATCCTAAAAAAATAAAACAGACATTCAGAATACAAAATGTATAATTAAAAAAAAAAAAAGAACATTCTGTCCTAAAACAGCCAAATACACATTCTTTTCAAGCGTACATGGTACATTCTCCAGAACAGATCACGTATTAGGCCACAAAACAAGCATCAGCAAGTTCAAAAAGATCAAAGTCATACCATGCATCTTTTCTGACCACAATGATATGAAACCAGAAGTCAACCACAAGAAAAAATCTGGAAAGACTACAAATACATGCAAGTTAAATAACATGCTAGTACACAATAAATGGGTCAACCAAGTAATAAAAGAAGTAATAAAAAGTACATGGAAATAAATGAAAACACAACAGTCCAAAACCTTTGGGATGCAGAAAAAGCGGTTGTTTTTTTTTTTTAAGATTTATTTATTTGAGAGAGAGTGAGAGCACAAGCAGTGGGGAGGGGCAGAGGGAGATGGAGAAGCAGACTCCCTGTGGAGCCCCATGTGGGATTCAATCCCGGGACCCTGGGATCACCACCTGAGCCAAAGGCAGACGCTTATCCGACTGAGCCACCCATGCGCCCAGAAAAAGCAGTTCTAAGAGGGAAGTTTATAGCACTACAGGCTGACCTCAAGAAGTAAGAAAAATCTCAAACAACCTTAACTTTACACCTTAAGGAGCTAGAAAAGGAACAACAAACAAAACCTAAAAACAGCAGATGGAAGGAAATAATAAATATTAGAGCAGAAATAAATGATATAGAAACAATAGAATAGATTAATGAAATAAGGAACGGATTCTTTGAAAAAAAAATCAATAAAATTGATAAACCTCTAGCTAGACTTATCAAGAGAGAAAGAGAAAGGACTCAAATATAATCACAAATGATTATATTTATATATATTTATATATATATTTATTATACTTATTTATATATTATATATATTTATATATATATTTATATTTATATATCTCACAAATGAGAGAAGAGAAATAACCAATCACAGAAATACAAATAATTACAAGAGAATATTATGAAAAACTATATGCCAACAAATTGGACAATTTAGAAGGGATAAATCCCTAGAAACATATAACTTACCAAAACTGAAATAGGAAGAAACAGAACATTCGAACAGACCAATTATCAGCAAAAAAACTGAATCAGTAATCTAAGAAGTCCCAACAAACAAGAGTCCAGCACCAGACGGCTTCACAGGCAAATTCTGCCAAACCAAACTATCCCAAAAAATAGAAAAGTTAGGAAAACTTCCAAATTCCTTCTATGAGGACAGTATTACCCTGACACCAAAACCAGATAAAGACACCACACACACACACAAAAAGGAGACAGAGAGAGAGAGAGAGAACTACAGGCCAATATCTTTGATGAACAGATGCAAAAATCCACGACAAAATACTACCAAACTGAATCCAACAATATATTAAATAAATCATTCACCACAATCAAGTGGAATTTATTCGTGGGTTGCCAAGGTCATTCAATATTTGCAAATCAATCAATGTGGTACATCACATCAATAAGAGAAAGGATAAGAACCATATCATCATTTGAATAGATGTGGAAAAAACATTTGACAAAGTACCACATCCACTCATGGTAAAAACCCACCACAAAGTAGGTTTAAAGGGAACACAAAGGCCATATACGAAAAACCCACAGGTAACGTCATCCTCAAAGGGAA